GTTGTAATCATGTCTGATTTAGTCACTAACCCCTGTGATAAATTAAAATTAACAGAATGTACAGTGAAAAGTGTAACAATTGGGACAGTGAAGTGAAATTTAACATTTTTGCTGTGTACTAATGAAATTTGTATTTCAGATTGAGAAGATTGAGACAAAGGTATAGAATATCAGCTTTTGTTTCTTATTTTGCGTACATATGTATTGGGACAAATGGCTGACAGGTGATACCAATTGCTCAGATATTCCATGTAGAAAATACAAAAAAGCTGTGAATGTTTAGCCTTGGTCCAAACCTATGGATTTTAATTTTTGGATCTGCCTCTTGTGTTCAAAGGTGTAAATGAAAATTAAGACTACAGAGTTGTCTGTGATGGAAAAGCAAGCAATTTTGAAGAGGAAAGTGAAAAGGATAACAAATAAAACCTGTAAGAGATTATATTAGACATCACAAAATCCACAGTATGAAAAGTCTTGATAAAAAAAGAAATAACCTGAGGAGTAACCAATCGGTAAAGACCAGGTCATTCAAAGAAGACAGCAGTTGATGAGAGAAATTATTAGAGAGATTGCAGACAATTTCATCCCGGCACTCTGAAGATTATCTCACTACACTGTGTGCACAGAAGATTTTTAACAGGACATTTATAAAAGCTACTTTGCAAGTTGCAAACCTGTCATCATTAAAAACAGAAAGGACAAGTTAGAATTTGCAAAAACGTTCAAAGATGAGCCACAGTTTTGGAACAAAGTTTGATGGACAGACGAGACAAAGCCTTTGTCAAGGTGACAGAAAGTCAGAAGTGTGGAATAAGAGGAAATGCAGATGATCCTAAGCACTCCTCCTCATTCATGAAACATGGTGGAGGTAGTGTTCACTGGTGTTTATTGATGCTGTAACAGATGATAGTAGCAGCAGAATGTATTCTGAAGTGTGCAGAACCTTTTTTTCTGTTCAGGTCCAAAAAAAAAGATTCCAAACTCATTGGATGACAATTCCCCCTGCAGCAGGACAGTTAACCAAAACAGACTGCACATAACCAAGGAGTTCATCAGGAATACAAGTGGAAACTTTTGATCCGGCCAAGAGTCTCTCCAGATTTTAATTTTAATGAGCCTGGGTTTTACTTGTTGAAGAAGAAACTAAAAACAGCAAACCAAACAAGCAACAGCCAAAAGTGGTTGCAGATACGGCATTGCAAAGTCTGGTGATGCTGATGGGTCACAGACTATGTAGAAGTCTTTGCATGTTGGGCTTGAAAAAATAGTGATTTATTAATTAGTAAATTGGTAATCTGTCCCAATATGTATGCTGACTTGAAATGGGGGAATTGAACACAAAAGTATCTAGAAATAAAGTCTGACATTCTGCACTTTTGCCTCATTTATCTTTTGATCTGAAATACAAAATGGCTGATACGGTATCCTTTTAATCTGAAAATCACATTTTGTGATTAGTTGTGATGTCATTAGTTAAGATCATCCTCCAGATACGATACCAGTGGATGGATACCTGGGCATCTTATGATTAAAAGTACCATACAAAGTTGTTTTACAGACTCAAGATATGCTGCTTATCAAAGAGGCTCACTTCCAATGCAGTCCTTCAGGCTTGAATGAGCAGAGCTAAGCGTTATGCAAAATCATGCATTAAAAATAACAGGGCTTATGGGAAAAATAGAGTTAGGGGCATACCACCCAAAACCTTACCAAAGCTTTACCAAGTTTATTAGTTATCCTAATAAAAATGTTAAAACACGTCAAATTTATAGTGTTGCATTTATGGAAGAGTTCACATGGGCAGCGAGACATTTAGAGGTCTACACACACACTCTTTATTACAGGTCTCCATCAGCCTGTTACCAGGCAAAAGAGACCATAAACCCCTTGAACAAAACTTAAACACACAAGGGCAGCAAATAGAACACTACACAACCTTAGGGTGGATATGGGTCTTGGGAAGAAAACGGGGGTAAACCGCAACAACCAAGTACAATTTCCTAAAAAAACACTGTTTACATAGCTAAGGTTAGCTAGCGGTCAGACCCTAAGACCACCTCCCGACAGTACCCTGACAGTGGTTCAAGCCTGCACCGCGGCACATAGTAATTATCCAGGTGTGCTTCTGTCAAGACACCAGGCGAGGGCTCTACAATAATAAATACTACAGTGAATTTAGAACTTAACCTTGAAAAACAGTTCACCACCTGAAATTTAAGCATCAGCATCTCCGCTTAGACAAATTCTTATCACCTCGTCCACTCATATTTACAGCAATGCAGAAGATTTAGTGAAAATAACATGAGAATTGCGGAGCACCCCCCCCCCAATTAGCACTTCCAAAACAAAGCACGTAGGACAACTGAACATCATGTGTATTCCTCCGCGGACCGCCGCGTTCAGTTGTATTACTCCACCATGCAAAATGTAAACATGTCGGGGATTAAATCGCGTATAAACCGACACAAGATTTCGCATTACACAGTCATCTGTCTCCTATTTACCAATCGCGTATGAGCCAATTTGCATTTTGGAATGCAATATCAGAGATCAGTGTAAGCTATTAAAGACCTCTGTCATTATAAAGAGACACATTGGGTGTTTATTAGTTAATTAGTTAATCGGTGAAAGATTAAGAGAACACATTCTCACATGGGTGTAATGAACAGAATGTTTGAGTATAAAGGGCCTCACATGTTAGCTGGTAGTTAGGAGCTTGGAGAGCCTTGTTTCAGATTTTATTGCATTAGCAGCAAGATCTCTGCAGTAAAGCTTCATGTACAGTACAATATCCATTGTGGGTTTTTGATTGGGTGTTGAGATCTCTTTAGCCACCTTATTTAGGGTTGGAGTCTAGTATCTTCTGTTCCATACTAGCTTTATTGTGATCGTTTTGGAGGCTTCTTGTGCATCCTTCTCTTCATATAAGGCTGTTCAGTTTATCACCCATTTTTACATTCTCTATGAAGTTAAGTTCTTTGTGGAATGGGAGTTGTGCTAGGCATTTAATTCTTTCATTACCCACCTCACTAGAGACACTTGATGGATGCTGCACACATTTCGGTCTGCTGTGGATTGGTTCAGCAGTTTGGTCTTTCCCATCCTAGTGTTGTTAGATTTAGTGCCATTGTTTTAAATGCTCCACAAAGAAATTAATATTGCAGGGTATATTGTACCCTTTCTTAATGTTTATTTTTACTTTAGTGGTAGTGAACTCTCAGAAAGACTTGAAGGCCTTTCCAAGGGTTCTTGTCTAGAGCACTGTAGAGCAGTTGTTGGTCAGTGATCTGTTTTAAGCAAAGAAGAAAAGATTACTGCACAATATATTCTGAGCGTTTTTACATAAAACCTGGTTATTTACTACTGGTTTGCAAAAGCTAACATTAGAGAAAAGTTTGGTGAAGATGAAGAACTGCAGTCCCAATTTCCTAGACTGATTATTGCGTCTCAGTACCGAAATAAATGACAGTATTGTAAAATTTTACAAATTCTGAATTAAATGTAAAATCGTGAACTTTGTGAAAGTATTGGATAGTCTACATGTCATAAACCCCTAGTATCCCCATGGGAAAGAGTGAGAGTTTGCATGAATTGTGATATGAAACGGCCTTTCTGCTCACTAGTGACTGTAATGAAGAATGTATTGTGATGTTTGAGCGAATAACTACAGGTTGTGCAGCAGAGATTTCACTGCAGAAATGTTGCAACGTGATCTACATGCAGAGTTGTAACAAGTTGCATTTGTTGGTAAAAACCTTCTCGAAGTCGAGAGTAATATTTCTGTTGGATTAAAAGAGATGTATACACAAGCCTGCTTGTTCACAATGTAATAAGGCTGCTTCACTTCACTGCAATATTTGTTGCCTCATTCTGAATCACAGAAGATGGCGCTGCACGTACCTGGAAATTTAGTCTATTTTGTGATGTAAATTGGTTGTCTTACATGCTACTGTGTACATTTTACTTTCATTCTGGTTTGGAATGCACTCATCAGTGCCGGTTCTTTCTAACCCTGAAATATAAAAATAGTGTTGCAGTTTCCTTTTAACTGCTGGGTACTGTTGGATGTGCATTTCCATTGAAATTCTAGAACGAATGTGACATTTAAGAATGTTTTTTTTTCCTAAATTATGCAATGCCCTGTGCATTTCTAATTGCTATTTCTGTTTTTTGTGTTAGATTTTAATTTTATTGTAATTCTAGGAATCATATATGCCTAAAGAAACAATTTGCATATTGGCTTTGTTAATTAAAAAAAAACATGCAATGTATCAGTTTTTTATCATTTCTTCCATGCTAAATCTTGTTTTGCTTATCTTAGGCAAACAATTTGATCGGCATAGTCTGTTGGAATCCAAGGGACATTGCAGATTTTTTGAACTTGTAATTGCCAAACTGATTGTATTCCTTGTCCTTTATCTTTCCGTTTATTCCGAGCAGGGTTTATTGTGTTTATTGGAGGTCACAAACATTTAAAGGATATATTGTTTTCATGAGTGGTGTTTAATGTCATATTAATTCTTGGAAAAGGCTTTTAACTTTAAAAAAAGAAAACTTGTCAGTTATCAAAGACAATTGGCAGTAATTGGGTAGTCAGTATGCCTTTGGGTAAGGTGTTTCTTAATTACTCTGAGTACAGTTTCTTAAATAGGTTTTTCTAGAAAGACATGCCTGCAGGCTTTGTGGTGAGGAAAAATAGAACTTTAAATTTAAATCTTGCATTTGATAGTTATGTACAAAAAGACAGCATTTTTATATGAGGAAATCTGTAGAATAGGGACATTTTGTTTGTTCTGAAGGACAGCACATGTTGACTCATTTTAGCTGTTGGCATCTAAGTGCTGTTGAGTAAAACCTGTGGACTTCTGCGATGGGTTAAAAAGTAGAGCTGAAATGCAGCGTCTTTGAAAATGTAACTCTTCAGGTTGGTTTTTGTCAAACATGAAGCTAATTAGTAGTGTTCTCCCTGACTCTTAAGACTAAATTCTGTTTCTTTCCAGGTTCGATCTGTGGATGAGATGAATCATGACTTTCAAGCTCTTGCACTGGAATCTAGAGGAATGGGTGAGGTATGTAAATGTTTTTAAATCTGGAATTTTTTTTGGGGGGGGGCTTCCATTTTTTTGATACAGTAAAATAGGTTAATTGAGAAACTCTCAAAAATACTGAGACTATTAGATAGACTACTAAATATTTTCTTTGCATGGGTACCCCTCCGATAGGATGTACAATGAGTAGTGGGATTTTAGTTTTTTCTTTTAATGGAGGTGATCTTTGTCCAATATCTAAAATCTGTATTTTGGTTCCTTTCATTTCATGGTGTGCTTTAGGAGTAACGCAATATGTTGGTGCATGTTACGCTCACATTGCACACATTCCAGAGTTGTTCCAATACATTTTCAATACATTCAGTAATAAGGTGCTTTTATGCTTGTGTTTCTGCTTCATAAAGGCCCTGAGCACAAAAACAGGAGTCCCACATTGGGAAACGGAACATATGAGTTCCATTTGGTTGCTATGCCATACAACAGCAATATGGTTTTTATATAGTCCGTTAATTACACTTTGGGTATGAGAGGAAAACAAAAAAATTGATTAGGCTAAATCAAGAAAACCAATGTTGTGCTGTATGTACTATGTAGAACTTTGTGTCATTGTCATGTTGATTTGTAGCAAGTTCACTCCGAGCTTGTGGCTGATTTCTGTGTGAATAATAGCAGGCTCAGAAGATGATATACAGAACTCTTCAAATGCCTTATTTCCTGCCCTAATTTCAAAATGAACAAATGACTTCTTCTTGCATGGAGTTTGACAGACATTTTAACCAATTTAAATAAATTTTAAAGGTTCATATGCATTAAGAAACATTTATTCTATTTTAGGCAATTTAATGGATTAAACATTTATTTTTATCAGTCATTAACTATTGGGGCAGAGTGGTGGCTCTGTGGCTAAGGATCTGCGCCTGTGGCCGGAAGGTTGCTGGTTCAAATCCCCCGGCCGGCAGAGGTATCCTACTTCGTTGGGCCCCTGAGCAAGGCCCTTAACCCCAACTGCTCCAGGGGCGCCGTAAAAATGGCTGACCCTGCGCTCTGACCCCACGGTTCTCTCCCTGCCTGTGTGTCTGTCTCATGGAGAGCAAGCTGGGGTATGCGAAAAGACGAATTCCTAATGCAAGAAATTATATATGGCTAATTAAATGATCCAATCTTATCTCTTATCTTATTGAGATTTTTTTATTAAAAAATGAAAATTTAAGATGTAAACTGCTTTTAGGATGATCTCCACTCATAACTAATATGCACAGGTCTTTCATAGAACTATGGAAATGATCTTAGCTTACCTTTTAAGCAATTCTTTTCAAACAGACCTAATGGGACATTTTTGTTTCATTCATGCTTGCTTGTTCTAATATACAAATTTAAATCTGTATTACTGTAATTTCAGAAATAATTACCAGAATTCCTAGTTCCATGCATTGTAAACAATCCGTGAGCCTCATTGAAGCATCACTGTTTTGGAGATCACCGAATTGTACAAAAAAGTGTATTTGGAGTGTGTGACATTTTATCAAATCACTTTCTGAACATTCTTTAAATTGGAGATGATAACTGTGTGATCATGACCCCCCCTCCTCCTCCACTTTCCCCAAACTTCCACCTTCACTGAAGCTGCTGCCGGCGAAAAAATTCTGGGAATCTGATGAGCCAACTAAAGATGGACAAAAAGGGATTTTCTTGGGAGATGAGTGGAGGGACAATGCATGGGGGCCATCACGTAAGTGTGTTTTAGTATGGCTTTTCTGAAAGGTGTCCATAACTAACTTAAAACACAAGGTTTGCTCTGTTGATTCTTAAGTGCTGCCCTGTGCAGCAGGTATAGAAGAGGCTCCAACTCTTCTGAAAACATGCACTTATTGAGAGCCTCCAGGAATCAGTTCCCTATCTGCTAGCAGCGTGGAGTGGTGGTTAGGTCTCTGGACTTGTGCCTGGGAGGTTGTGAGTTCAAATCCCAGGTGGGGCACAGCTATAGAAACTAGTACGCTTGAGCAAGTTACTTTACTAAAAGTGCTCCAATAAATCGGCCCTGCTTCATATAAATGGGCACAAATATTCGTGTTTGGATAAAAGCCTTAGCCATCATAACACTTCCAAAGAATGGTTCCAGTCAGAATCATTAGAAGATAGTTTCTGTCACTCTGCGGCAAAATCATATTTGACATGATCTGATGAACATCTGAAAATATTAAAGCTTTCATATTTAAAAGCGACGTAGGTCCGACCATAGCTGCTTAAGTTTAAAATTAAACTGCTGAAGTGTAGTAAATTGGTGGAATGCAACTTGATATTTTTTATTTTCTTTGTAGATGCTTTATAATAAGCAGTATTGTAGCTTCTTGTTCTTAACATGCACATGCGTGTTTTGTACACGAGGAAACAATCTGTATAGGTAAGCATAATGCTGTGCAAAATGTTTAATTCTTATTTTACTGTTTTCATCATTGGTAGCCCATCTCATTTCAGTGCTCCATGACTTAGTTGCCTTTTGAAAGGGGTTCATATCCATTCTGTTGTTGATGAAAATGATTTCCATTAAATGTTAAATTGCATAGGTAGCACAGCATTTTCTAGTTTTAAGTGCTTTAATCGTTTATGTGTTTGTCACATAGGCGATAATATGAAAGTAATTTTTCTTCACTCAAGACCTTCCGCTTTCAGAAGAGCAGCCTCATTGAACATAACCTTCCACACGGCTCATACAGCACTCATTGCCGATTATGGAGCATCTTAAATAATTTATTCCTATTTCTTTTGCTGCTGTGATGTCTAAACGCGTTAACAGAATGTAAGTGCAGATTTCTGTCTCTCCTGGAAACAGATCATTCTGTATCACAGCCCATTATGGTGCAGCGGCGGCCTGGACAAGGTTTCCATGGCAACAGTGAGGTGAGCTCGGTCCTGTCTCCGCGCTCTGAAAGTGGGGGTCTAGGAGTCAGCATGGTGGAGTACGTACTCAGCTCTTCTCCTGGAGACAAGCTGGACTCCCGCTACAGGAAGGGGGCTTTTGTAAGTCTCAAGCAATCACGTCGTCTTCTGTTACCTTCGTCTGTCTTTTTACTTTTTTTTCCTTTACCCGTCGGGAATATTTTGCTCTGTTGTTCACCACTGGAAAATAAGTTAGCTTGTTTGCTAGCCAGCAGAACACCGATATCCTTAAAATAGTGATGTTGAAACATCAGGAATGTATTCAAAATTCATCACAATTTTTGCAGGTGTTATCCATTTATCCATATATAAAGACAAATGGTAGCTTATCTGGCTAAAATTGCTTACTGGTGCAGATTTGTGGTAAAAAGCACCATTTCGGTTCTTTTCAACCATGTGTTTCAATAAGCAGAATGAATAAATTGTGGTTCTTCACGTAGGGTAATAGTGTAATAGTAAAATGTAACATGCATCATTTATAGCTGTTGAAAAGTGTGGGAACTCTCCGCATTTATCTGAAGACCTAAGGATGTGTGTCCCCCAGCTTCTGAGAGGGAAATTATAATCTGGTCTCCTTAGTCTGGAGCCTCCCCTGCCTTTACAAATGTATCGCAGTGGCTTACATTATATCTGATATCCATCAGTTCTCACAGTATATAATCTTTACTGGTTGTCCCATCTTAAAAGAAATAATCAGAATTGTGCCATATTTGTAGCATGAAGAAAATAGTTTTAATGGGTAGAATCCAGTTCTTTCTCTGCATTAGTATTTTGGGTTCCCTGTGGTTTCAAATGGGCTCATGTTGTTAAAATAGCATTTTGTCATTGTTAAAAAGCATCTATTAATAAGAATGGTGTTGAAAACGGGTGTCTAAAAATGTTTCTTTTTGGGACAGTTATGAACTTAACGAAGCCTAAGATGTTTTGTCAAATTATTATTGCCTATTCTTTTTTCTGGTTGAGTTTCTTTTGTTAAAGTTAGTATGGGATACATTTTCAACGGGCATTCTTTGGATCCTTATGTGAAAAGTTCAACTGACTGCACAGATAATTAGCCATATAATGTATCAGAAATCCTCCTTTCAGTAATTTTGTCGTGTTGCATTTCAGTGGTCCATTCGTCTTCCTTGTAAATTGTTAAAGCTTTCATCAGTGTGTTTGTACATTTTGTGACAGTAGTTTGCGTTCCTCTGGCAGGGTGCTGGCGATGTGGATGCAGATGGGGCAGAGAAGAGTGACCCGAAAGGCAAGTCATCTCCGTTTGAGGAAGACAAAAGCAGAGAGATGAAACAAGAAGATGACGATGCGTCCAAAGCAAATGGTCGTGGTCTGCCCAATGGAATGGATGTCGACTGCAAGGAATTTAAGTATGGAATTACGTTCGTGACTGTGGGTGTTCTGTAGTACTTAAAATAATGTTTAGTTGTTTTTGCAGATGGAAACAGGATCTTCAAGTACTTTATACTTTAGTGAAATCAGCTAACTTATGGACATGTGTACGTGTGTCACTTGAGCTGTGCAAATTATTTTTCTTCCAGTCGGACTCCTGGCAGCCGCCAGGCATCTCCAACTGAAGTTGCAGAACGCCTGGGTCCCAGTCAGAACAACACAGAAGGGATGGGACAGCATCCAAACCCCGTGGTCAATAAGGCAACCGTGGAAGAATTCCAGAACTCGGAGGGACAGAGTATGGACAGCATTGAGCAAGTTGGCATTGAATCGCTACAGTTCGATTATGCAGGCACCCAAGTACAAATGGACTCCTCTGGAGCCCCAGTGGGACTTTTTGACTACAACTCCCAGCAGCAGGTTTGTGAGACAGCTCTGGACATCATGACATAGTCTTTAACAACCTGTGTACATCGTGTTTCTTATGTAATGCGACAGCTGAATAGCTGGCATTTGCTGCAGAAGTTTTTTTTAGAGAGAAGCAGGAAGTTTAAATTTAAACCAAATGGGAAAACAATAAATTAAACGTTTTATGTAGGAGACGTATTATTCCAAAATATGTATATAAAGAGAGATTATTTTCTATGATCTATAATAATATTATATATTAATTCATGATGTATTTAAATATATATTAATATTAGTTAAGGTGGGTAACTGCGTCAGCATGCGTAGGGTGTGACACCCGAAGAAGGCTCCACAGCCAAAACGTTTCCTTTCTTCTCTTTTCAGCATGGAATAAACCTATTATTGTTCCTTTGTATATTTTATATTATATATGTCAATATAATAATCTGTATAATGTTTTTCAGTATACATCAGTACTAGTTCTAGAGGTGTTCACTGCTGTTGCAAAAAAATTATAATTCATGTCTTCAGCTGCTTGCAGGAAGTTGTCAGAAGCTTTTTTACATATATGTTTTAAAAGTTTAGTAGCTCTAAAATTTGCCACTAGTTAATATAATGCAGCAGACAAAGTTCTTCTGGATTGTGACGCACTGGATGCATTTGCAAATTGACGTATGCTGGATCTGGGATGATTAAGTGTTATGGTAGTCCCCATGATTGCTTTAATACTATCCTTTTTGCATTTAACTGTTGGCAGATGTCTGTGATGTTGCTTGTCCAGTCTTGGTTCCTAGCCCCTCCGTGTGTAAACTTATTTAACATCTTGACATTTGTTGAGGCACCCAAAACAGTATGATGTCAGCCTCTGATGAACATGGATGTTTATACATCTATATTTTTTCCCAGCTTTTCCAGCGACCCAATGCACTGACCGTTCAGCAGCTGACTGCAGCACAGCAGCAGCAGTACGCACTGGCTGCAGCTCAACAGCAGCATATAGGTGAGATGTAACAATGTGTGTGAGGAGAAATGGCTCATTTCACCTCTTTGGTCTTATTTGAGAAATGTTCCCATTAAAGGTAAGGCAGTGCTAGGTCCATTTCTCCTTTTGTCTTTTTTAAAAGGAAAGGTTGACACAAAGTTCGGATGAATTTGAATGGAATTTGATCTAAAAAAAGCATGACATTGAAATTGTTTCATTAGTTTGGTGAAAGCTTTGCAAACACAGATGTGGTATATTCTGGTTCTTTAGTGTTTAATTCCCCTTTAAGTGCTTTTGCCCTTTTTAAGTAAGAATGTTTCATCTTCCAACAGTTGATACAGATTTAAGTCACACATTACAAGCTTTCGGGAATCTGTTTTAGTACTTTAATACTTTCGTACTTTTCCCGACTTATTAATTCCAGATCTACAGCAGATGAAAAAAAACTGTTGACCAGTCTTGTGCTGTGGAGCTACCTGCAGGGGTTGTAAATAGTTGTAAAATGTTTGCTTCTTGTTGACAGCAGGTGTGTTTTCAGCAGGCCTTGCTCCGGCTGCCTTTGTGCCAAACCCATATATAATCAGCGCGGCTCCTCCAGGCACAGACCCCTACACCGCAGCGGGCCTCGCGGCAGCTGCCACCCTGGCAGGTACGACTCTGCTTCCTCGCGCCGCCGAGAGGTCAGCCTGCAGGGGGCGCAGCGCCCGCGTCTCTCTCATCGGATAACAGTTCTGTTACTTCAATGGTTTATTTTTCTGTTAATACTTGTGGAGATTGTTCAATATCCCCGTTTTTCCCTTGTTTTACTTGTTGCAAGGGGGCAGAGGGCTGTTCAAAGTGGAAAAAATCTGAGTTAGATTTGGAGATAATGTGAACCTTTTTCTTAATTCTTTAGATCTTAGTTCTTTTCATTTCTAGCAATCGGTAAAAATGAGAAAATCTGGTTATAATTTGCTCTGTTGCGTCCGCATGATTGCTTCATGTACGGATAATTCCTACAAACAAAGAACAGTAGGTCATTGCAGTTGTAGGTGGGCAGGTGATCTCCTTGGCATTTAAGGAGTTACTGCCCATCTCCTCTCATGAGTCGCACCCTCTCTTCCGTCCTCAGGCCCGGCTGTTGTGCCTCCCCAATACTATGGCGTTCCGTGGGGGGTGTATCCAGCCAACTTGTTCCAGCAGCAAGCAGCAGCTGCAGCTGCCAGCAACTCTGCCACCCAACAGGCTGCCAGCCAAGGACAGGGACAGCAACAGGTACACCTCCAGCTATGCAGAGCCGAGCGCTTGACTATGCACTGCATATCTGCGATACGCTGTGCTCTGCACTTCAGAACTCCTGGTTAAGAAAGGACCTTGGGAGTGAAATCGATATTTTCCTGGTCCTTGGAGCAGCAGATCTTTGCTGTGCTAATGCACAATGGGTCTGATCTCGGTTATCTGGAGTTGAGTGGTACATTTCTTCTCTTTCAAAACTAATCAGTATTTTTCATAGTCTATACTGGCTGTTTCATGAGAAAATGTATACATCGCCTGTCCTAATGACAGTGATTCCATTGCAGTTTATTAACATTAGTTGTTCAGTTGGTAACTGTCATACAGTTAATTCTTTTCACTTCATGTTTTCAGTGGTCTGTTGTGCGATAGGCTTTTTCTTTGACAAAACCTTAATGAAATGTTTTAGTTTGACATGCGTGCCTGCTATATAGAAAGAGCCACACAGATGTGTGTCATGTGAATGTCCTGCACGTCAAATGCATAATAAAATAAAGCTTCCTGTAATTCTGCCCACTGGTGGCTTGTGCTCCCTGTGCAGGTGATGAGAGCAGGAAGTAACCAGCGCCCTCTCACTCCGGGGCAGGGCCAGCAGGGCCAGCAAGCAGAGTCACTGGCGGCTGCAGCGGCTGCGAACCCAGCCCTGGCCTTTGGACAGGGATTGGCCACAGGGATGCCAGGTGAGCTCTCCCGGGCACATAGCCGTGCTCTTCATGAGTTTCTTGCAACACTGTGCTTTCTAGCTATATAATCAAATAAAACAATTCAAGCAGCTTTTTTAAATCACATGACACCTCTCCCTCTGATTCTCCTCTGGATGCTTCTCACCTACTCTTCTCTGCTTTGTTCTCATTACCTTTCTCTTTCTCTCTCTCACACCTGAGGAAGGCTCAACAGCCGAAAAACACATTGCGTTGCACTTTTTTTTTTTACCTTTCATTGTGGAATTAACTTTTACTTGTTCCTTTGTGACCAGGACTTCCTGATACAGTTTACGTTCACCAGTCCTTAGGAATAGGTCAGAATTTACTTACAGGGAATCTTATATTCTAGCCATGACACAAAACTTATCGTGCACACTTTCCATGAAATTTCTCTACCTTTTTTAAAAAGAGAATTCCTCTTCAAAAGACTCATCAGTGTACCAGCACCGCACTTACCCAGCGTTCAGTTCTGTCAGCAGGTGTTTGATATGAAGTGGAGAAGTGAATCTCATGGAGTTTTACATTTGACCTTGCAGGCTATCAGGTTTTAGCCCCGGCTGCCTATTACGATCAGACTGGTGCCTTGGTGGTTGGCCCTGGAGCTCGGACAGGGCTGAGCGGACCCATGAGGCTTGTGGCTTCCGCGCCTGTGATCATCAGCCCTGCAGCTGCGCAAGCAGGTGGGGCACAGCAGTGTCACAGCTAGTCCCATTTCATGTTTTGTTTTTCCCCAGAGTCCTCCTCTTCCTGCTGGTTCCTCCTACACCCTAAACTGCATGAGAGTAGGCAGGTGGCACCTTGCCGTGATGTTGTTCAGGTTTTCAGAGCTGTATTGAATTTAAAACCTCCAAGGTTTATTTGCTTCGTCCCTGTTTGGGAGGGTCACTTGTCGTTAAACAGGGGAAATAACTTCAAAAGCCGGAGGTGGTCAGTATGGTTCAAGGCCATCTACCTTTTTTTGGTCGAAGTTCGACATAGTTTGAAAGCAATGAAAAAGGAATAGAATTGTCGAGAAAAGTGATTCTGAAACGTGCTCAGTTCGGTTGCTATTGCTAACAGCGTTGTCTCTGTGCCTCGGTTTTGTTGCCCCAGCTGCGGCAGCTTCCGCCACGGGAACGGGGAGCAGCCTGGCCGGAGCTGCCGCCGGCCTTTTCCGCCCCATGAGCTCTCAGCCGCAGACGCAGCAGCAGCAGCCTGCGCCGCCGCCCAACAGCAACCTGCAGTCCAGCTCCTTCTACGGCAGCAGCTCCATGTCTACTAGCTCCCAGAGCAGCTCGCTGTTCTCCCACGGTCCCGGCCAGCCCGGCAGCACCTCCCTGGGCTTCGGAAGCAACAGCTCCCTGGGGGCCGCCATCGGATCCGCTCTGGGAGGCTTTGGATCCGCAGGTTCGGCCTGCTTCTGGCACAGTAGCCCCCGTTCTTTTTTTTTTATTTAACTGTTTCCAGTGTGGATATGTAGTCTCAGAAAGGACTGAGCTTATCAGGCCGCTGAGTTGAATACCTGCAAATAAACATGATATTCGATGAGCAGAACAGATTTGCAGCTGTCTGCTCCTACACACAGAAGTGGGCTAAGGGCCAGATTAAATGAAAACTTCCACCCACCCACAAGTGGCTTATTACACACCCTGTTGACATGATAATGGTTTATCTTCTGCAAGACGATTCTTAGCTTCTGTTCAGGGGGAATCAGCCATCAGCTAGGTGGAATTTGTTTCAATCCTGGTTTTGGTTTAGGTTGTGGACGAATATGAATCAAGACATTATGATAGTCATGTCATTAAATTAACTTTAATTTTACTGCAGTCAAGGTGCTTTTGCCGTTGTCATTAACCTGTCTGCATTTGCACAGGCAACAGCTACTGCAAAGAGCGGTTTGATATAAAAGGCGAGCTTAAATTGTTGCAAACTTTGCCACCAAATAGCAAACGGCAAAGCAACTTTTGTAGTTTTCTTCTGAATCTTGAATCCGCTTCATTTTGAAACATCTGAAGTTGGCATGGGTAATCCGGAATAATTTAAACGGTGACGTGTTTTTCTTTGCAGTGATGTACTGGTGCTTTATCCAGTAAGTACATAGGGGCTGCAGACCCTGTCCCAGCTCTTTCAGTGAGGCTGTTCATCAAGTGTGCCAGTTCAGTTGAATTGCCCTCATAGCAACTTTTGTTTATCCTCTTCAGTTGCCAGCTCTGCGAGCAATAGTGCCTCCCGGAGGGATTCCCTCTCGGCCAGTTCCGACTTGTACAAGAGATCTGGTAACAGCCTGGCCCCCATCGGGCAGCCCTTTTACAACAGCCTGGGCTTCTCGTCCTCTCCCAGTCCGATCAGCATGCCCCTGCCCAGTCAAACTCCAGGGCACTCCCTCACGCCGCCTCCCTCCCTCTCTTCTCACGGGTCATCGTCAAGTTTGCATCTAGGTATGTTTGGTGCTCGAAACGGGCTGGGGATTAGTGGCTTTCCCCGTGATAAGAATATTAAAATCATCTGTAGATCTTTTAATTCTGCGTTTACAGTGGGGTTTGTACTCTAGACAATTCAACTTTAGACTGTGTGAATCTAGACAATTTGTACCAGTAATTTGCCTTCCTTATCATTGTATTGTGTATCATTAAAAAGCTTACCACAAAACATTGCATCTGCGAAAGGCTTAATGACTGTATGCATGATAGTTAGAAAATGCCTTTTGTATGGTATGCATTAAAAGGCACAGTACTATAGGATTTGATCTTTGCTTAATCCATCTCATTACTGTTTTTTCCCCACACCGTGAAGGAGGGCTAACAAATGGAAGTGGCCGCTACATTTCTGCTGCCCCAGGGGCGGAAGCGAAGTACCGCAGTGCCACCAGCACCTCCAGCCTGTTCAGCTCCAGCAGTCAGCTCTTCCCTCCATCTCGGCTTCGCTACAGCAGGTCTGACATCATGCCGTCCGGGCGCAGCCGGCTGCTGGAGGACTTCAGGAATAATCGCTTCCCCAACCTTCAGCTGAGAGACCTGGTGGGCCACATAGTGGAGTTCTCCCAAGACCAGCACGGCTCAAGGTGACCCTTCAGCCGGCAGCGTTTTTCAGCCCCTTCATAATGTGAAGCACAGTGGTTAGGGCTCTGGGCTCAGAAATAGAAGGTTGTGGGTTCAAATCCCAGGTGGGGTACTGCTGTTGTGCCCTTCAGCAGGGTACTGCTCTCAGAAAAATGTTTAAATGCTGTATAAAGATTTTCATGTGAAAAATAAAAGCCAAATTAATGTGAGTTAAATGAAGGTGAGTGCCATGGCAATTAAATTTTATGTTGTATTTTTTGGTGTGTACTTTATTTTTGAAGTTGTTAAGATTTGGCTTTGGTGTCTTCTGGCCTCCTTAAATTATTTAATTTTAATTTTATTTAATTTTAATAACAGACAGTAACAACAGGCCTTCAAACTATATGGCTCAAAACCTACAGTAAGTAAAGGTTTTAAAAACAAAAAGCCTCTAGTTAAAACAATCAGTAATTAGCCTCCTTTGTACTAAATAAAGATTAAATTTAACTAGAATGTTACATTTAAACCCGTATTTTTCAGCCGGTTCTATCTGTGAAAACTGCCCTGGAGTTTCCTAAGCAGCTTTTTAAATTGAGAAAACCTGCAAAAGAAATAACATTTTTTTGCAATTTGAATAAACTGAATGCCGCCTAGACCTTTAAATTAACGTTTAGTTGAATGGTCAGTGAAATTAATCTGAAGATCCCTCATATTAAATTATATTGCCCAATGATTAAAAAAAAACAAATGAAGTGGAATGAATAAAAAACCACAAATAAACCTTTTCTTTTGGGGAAATAACCCCAGTGGAAAACCTTGTACCATGGTTAGGTTACAAAAACTGGAAAATCTGACTATTTTCACAGAAACCAACACTGTACATTAATGTGGTAAGAAGTGAATGCCAAATCATTATCTGATGAAACTGGATAGTAAGTTCACACAATGATTTTCCAGATTGAAGCATTTTTGCACTCCAGTATGAATCTGATTATACTCTCAACCTTTTAGGCTGTATTTAACACTGAATAAGCAATGCTGTATAGGGACGCATGAAGAGATGCTATTTCCCATTTCCGAAGACAAATTATTAATTTAATGGTTAAAGACCAAAGTTAATTACAGAAGTTGAGATTTCTGTTGATTTTGAAAGTCTGCGAGGATTCATAAATCAGCTCTTTAATTACAGATTATTTTTTTTCTTGTCACACCTTTTAATCCTCTTAGGTATTTTAGTTTTAGCTATAATTTAGCTAGTAAACAAAGTTAAGTGTTCATTAGCAATGGATGGAAAAGCACAGTCTGTCTGTCTTAATCTTTGATTTTGGACAGGTTTATCCAGCAGAAACTGGAGCGAGCCACTCCTGCAGAGCGACAGATGGTTTTCAGTGAAATTCTTCAAGCGGCATACCAGTTGATGACGGATGTGTTTGGAAATTATGTTATACAGAAATTCTTTGAGGTAATTTTCCGAACTGAATAGTACTGCCGGTCACATTAGTCAATATGCACCTTCTCTTCCATATCATGTTAAAATGAAGTACAGATTCTTGACTGGTGTGCCTTCGGGCATTAACAGACGTGAACAACATTTTGGAAAAGTCGTATTTGAGAAAAGAAATGCTTGAATGTATTCGTTTTGTGTAGTTTTGTTCGGTATATAGACATAAGGCAGTGGGCACTATAGAGGAATTCACGTGTGAATTGTTTTTGGTGAGAATTCAACCATGAATTAAGTTTTGTTTAACAGTAACATCTATGGCAAGTGATGTGTGCAGAGGCGAGTGGTGTGCCACAAAACGTTTATACTTATGTGAGTTTGCTGAGGGATGGAAGAGATTGAGAAATGCCAAAGTGAGGGGCGGTGTCCAGTGTGTACACAAAATACCCTTTTGTGTGTCTGATTTTACAGAATATTAACAGTGCACCTGAAGTTACATGTATAGACATAATTCTTTAAAGACCATATTGTTTATGGAATTACTTCCAGCGCAGGTTTTTTATTTGGTTTTCCACCACAGTTTGGAAGTCTGGATCAGAAGCTCGCCCTGGCAACTAGAATCCGAGGTCACGTTCTCCCTCTCGCGCTGCAGATGTACGGCTGCCGTGTGATTCAGAAAGCCCTGGAGTCCATCTCCTCAGACCAGCAGGTAATTGTAAGTTAGATTTTTTTTTTTGTATTTCTGTAACAATTGAGTTACCTTGTAACATCAGTCTACGTTAAAGACTATTCTTTAATCTCTCCACATTGGTTTTTAATTGTTGAAAAGCTTAAATAGTACAGTATATTGTTAAAATAACAACTTTTATGCCACACTTAACTGGATTATAGTTGAAAATGTTTTATTCTTTAACCTCAATATTTAAGTGAAAAAATGCATGAGAGAGATATGGATGGAGTTTGATTCTTTAATGGGTTTTCATGGGAGTTTATTGATTTTTATTATTCACCTTGGAAAACATGCGTAAAAATCAGTGCACTGATTCGATTCTTCAGTTTTCATGGTGTACAGTCGTGGCCAAAAATATTGGCACCCTTGCACTGTTTGCAAATAACTCACAATTTTCTCTAAAAATAACTTTAAATTGGCCAAAGTATGTGGTCTTCACAATTCTTTATTTCACTGTTCATATTACAGAACCTTTGTTTTTGTTTCAGAACTTAATATATCCTTTTAAATTAGAAAATAAAAAGAAATGGCATTGACAAAATTATTGACACCCCAGATTTAATATTTGGTAGCATAGCCTTTGGTCAAAATAACTGCAATCAAGCGCTTCCTATAGCCATTGATGAGCTTTCTGCACCTCTGTACTGGCAGTTTTGCCCACTCTTCTGGTGCAAACTGCTCCAGTTATCCCAGATTTGAAGGGTGCCTTCTCCCAGCTGCTGTTTTCAGATCTCTCACAGTTTTTCAATGGGGTTAAGATCTGGATTCGTTGCTGGCCACATCAGAACAGTCCAGCTTTTTGTCTTGAACCATTCCTTGGTGCTTTTTGAAGTGTGTTCAGGATCATTGTCATGCTGTCGTTACATGTCAAAACAAACTGCAGTAGATCTTGCACTAATGACCAAAGAAATGTCACTTTATGAAATATAGAAATTTAAATTTTTCTAACTAAAGCATGGAGCAGTTTTTTAAAACATTCAGCCACAAATCTAAAGTTTCTGAATGAACCTTAACTTCCAGTTTAAATTCATTTAAACATTTCACATACTTTTCATATTATTTAAATGAAACATCAGCCCTTTACATGAATTTTTAATTGATATACATTTGTAAAACAGTTTGTAAAGTCAAAAAAGAATACATATATATTTTATGCTAAATACAGAAAACAAGCTACGCTGGTAAATCATGGAAGATTGAATTGTAAATGTTTATCTTTAGAAATTCTTATAAAGAAAACATCCCTGGGCAGATAAGTAATCCTGGGACCTTCCTTCACTTACCACACATTTACTAGGTACAGAACCAGTCAGTAAGGTACCCGTTTAGTTGAAGGAATACAGTAAGTTCATGAATCTCGGCATGCGTGCAGCAGACCTTGAAGGTGGAAGCTGGAGCCGAAGGCAAAATCACTGAGTGAGCCGGCAAACGTGAAGGTACCACAGCAGTCAGAGATTTCCCAGCATGACAGGCTTGGGATTCCTGTCCCTCTATCAGATTTGGCCTTGCAGTCGCTGTGCTGTAGTAGTGGATTGAAGTCGGGAAAGCCTGTGATCTACATGGTTATTGCATATCATTGTAGCTGAGGCAAAGTGGCAATGAACTGTGGGGGCTGGCGTGACAGTATGTTCAATTGCACTACTGTCTGTGCTGTTCACCGTCTGTGCTGCAAGAGTGGAGGCATTGAATTGCGTTGACTGTGTTGTCGGGCTTTTTCATTGAGACAATCATTTTTTTTCCAAGTACTCTATATTGGAAAAAGGATTATCAAGACATTTTAGACTAAAATAGAGTGAGAAAATTACGTTGTTAATTAAGTGAAATGTTGAATATTTTGGTCCAAAATGTATAATGTATGGGCAATGTATTTGTTTAGATTCTGGTTGAATTCCTTAAATGTAAAAAGTATTTATAAATCCATTCTAGAAATATGGGACTTTTTAAAATAAAAATTAATATAAACTGAAAACTGAAGGGCTGTATATCTGAGACTTTCATAGCAACTGTGTAAATCTTTTAAGTGTGTACTAAAAGCTGCTGAGACTCGATTGTGTCTTGTTAAGCATGCTTTAGAAAATTAAATCTCTGCATTTCTCTCCAGAATGAGATGGTCAGAGAGCTGGATGGACATGTTCTAAAGTGTGTGAAAGATCAAAATGGGAACCATGTAGTACAGAAGTGCATAGAATGTGTTCAGCCACAGGCACTGCAGTTCATCATAGACGCATTCAAGGGACAGGTAATTATTGACGTGTTCAAATACCCATCCAAAATCTTTATTTGTTTTAAGCATCTTAGTGGTTTTAGTGCTTTTTCACACTTTGTGAAGACTGCGCTTAGAACTTTTAGTACTTTTTTTCAAAATCCTATCCAGAGCCAAAGTTAATAAAAAAAAATAGAAAACATAAGCGACAGATGCCGTAAAATGGTCAGAACAGCTGCTTTGTTGCAGTAGGTTTTTATTGCTATTGAGCATCACCAGCCTCAGCAGTCAGCTGGGCTTCATCCCTTTTATTTTTCGATGCCGTCACTCAGTGTCTAGTCTGCTTTTAAAGCCAGGTCGGTCTTGCCCCCGCAGGTGTTTGTGCTCTCCACTCACCCGTACGGCTGCCGGGTCATCCAGAGGATCCTGGAGCACTGCACCCAGGAGCAGACCCTGCCCATTCTGGAGGAGCTGCACCAGCACACGGAGCAGCTTGTACAGGTCAGCGGTCTTTCCTGGGCGGGCGGCGGCAGGGGGGCAGGGTGGTTGGCGTGCGTGAAGAAAAATGTCATAATCCACTGCCATTCTTTTTTTGCAGAATGTATTTTTTTAGGGAATGCGTTTTCAGCGGTTTTATATTTCTGTATCAAGCTTTCTTAGTTCACCTTTTTTCGTGTTTTTTTTTTAAGCATGTTTAGCTTTGTTCTTTTGTTCTCTCTCTGCCACGGAAATTCCAGTGGCAGTCTTGTAAGCATTAGATCAGTCATTAGTAAAGTGCATGTCCTGTTGATTGTCATGAATGTGTCCAGAAGATTTTCAGGCAGCTCCACCTCTGTTGTCTTTAAAGAGAAGCATCTCTGTTTGGAAACGTGGGTGAGGGTGTGAGTGGTCAGTCAGGGTCAGGTTGTTGTAATGGAGTCCTTGCATGTTTTTATTTTGTTTGCATGTTTCTTCATTACATAACAATGGACATTACGTTGTTTGTGGAAGAATTAAAATTGAATCCCTATAATATATATTAAAAACCGCCATGATACAATTCTATCATTTCTTTGAACAAGTGAAACAATCCTTCTTATAAAACACCCCTTATTTTATCTAGAAATATCAAGGAGTTTCATTGGAGATGACAACCAAAACTTTTTATACAGTGTCAAGTGATGCCCTGTTCAAGGTCAGAGCAATTACATTCTCTAAACACGTGAAGGATTTCTAATCCTCTCAGTTTTTCTCTTGATTAATCCTAATGTGCTTCAGAAATATCTTGTTTAATATACAGAGCATTAAAAATCTGAAACAACAACATACCGTTAGAAACAAAGCCCTTTAATGAAAAACTACTTCTACTTCAAAGTGATTTTGGCACATATTTTCTATTAAGGGATATCACAGAATTACACAGTGCTCGGTCATACATCATAGAACTGCTTTTGTATTAGATTGAACGTGTTTTTAATTTCAAAACAGCAGATCCCTCCTACTAGGGAAGATGTTGCCAGTAACACTTTGAAGTAAAATACTTAATTGCATTCAGACTGAATTGACAAAGCTACAGTCTGTGAAAATACATAGAAGGGTTCATTTCAGAAACTGATTACAAAAGGGCTTGGATGTAGTTTGCATGCAGTGTTCGGGGCAGTATATAACAGCACGTCAGTTAGACTTCAGTGAACTATGTGAAGGACTGGGGGAGTACAGCCTTCCACACTTCATTGTTAATGAGGCACACATGAAATGCTTTTCTGTTGTGGAACCTCTGTTTTGATGGTACACATTCACGATGTGTAATACTCTGATTCTCTTGGACTTTTGTCTAATTTTGAACTTATTGTAAAATAAGTCAAATTTTATATATACTATAGACTATGTTTTGGTCTACTGCAGTTGAAAGATATTCTTTGTCATTGTATTAAGAGTTGCATATTTTGAATAGCAAAACAATGTAAAGATGCTTTCCTTATGCTCTGTGGTTTTTATTTGTCTCTTTCCTTAATTCTTAATCATGCCATTGAGGTCTAATTTTAGATCAGTCCTGTAGATTGAAATGAACCCTCTTCTCGTAGCTCTTTAATCTTAATGTTGTTGTGGCACAAAATGCTCCTCTTCTTTCATGAGTTCTGTAACCCTTAAAAAAATCTTGGCAAAAGGGAGAATTTTTTTTCTTGTTTGTTGTTCATTTTCCCAACCACAAACCTTAGGTATCAAATATTAGTGATCTCTGAAAAATCAAACTTTTAGAATTTGTTGTCTGAGTCATTGAACCGTTGTGTCAGTAGGCTGTTAAGTTGCTGGCAGCATTGCATGTAAACCATGTGCATTTACATTGTGATCCTGTGTCATGTGTAGTTTACACAGGCTTGACTGGCACCAGCTGCAGTCAGACATGGAAATAGTATAGTATGGATCTGTTGTCTGATCTTAATGCTGTGCTTGCAGAGGAAACGCATCATCACTGTTGCTCAGACATTTCACAGACTTGTTTAATTTGCCACCAGTCAAGTGAGAATGTTGTCTGGACAATTTATCCAGCCAGCATTGTCTTTACTTTGCCTCTTGGTTAAAACAAATGATGCCATTGGAGTCCAGGTTTTTTCTTCTGCATCTGGATTGTGGACTGAACATCCCTGCAGGCCATGAACATGAATAGAGCATAGGAGGTTCATGTCAGCTTATCAGCTATGGTTTTATTTTCCCTAAAGGTTAGTGTGTCTTATTTGTTCAAAGTATATAAAACTAAATGTATATACCATTTTGCTTTGAGTTGAGCCAAGGTATAAATTAGGATGTTAAAAAAGCAAGGAGCTACTAAGTGAACAGCATCCATAGGAATTTCGTTTATAGAGGTTTATTTCCTTTGGATAAATGTGATGTGAACAAATATTCACCTGCTTTTTCAGAGGAATAATATTGATCCAAATGTTTGTGGTTGATACTATACATCTGCATCAATGCACCAATAGACATGCATGCTTATTTTAAGGGGGAAGAAGTAATCATTTTTATTGTCTTTTTACACCTTCATATTCTGAAAGAGAACCTCGCGTTTCTGTCTGTCCCAACAGGATCAGTATGGTAATTATGTCATCCAACATGTTCTGGAGCATGGGCGACCTGAGGATAAAAGTAAAATTGTAGCAGAGATCAGAGGAAAGGTTTTAGCCTTGAGTCAACACAAGTTTGCAAGGTACGTAAACAGCCCCTGTTTGTGTGGGAAGATTTTTCTTCATGGTTAGGTCTGTGTCACCGGAAAAGAGTTGATCAGATCTCTTGAGGCTTTAAGTTGCCGGTTTGTAAGCTATTTAGCATGTTTTGTTCTTTTTTTAAAAAAATGCCGTTAATTTCCATAATTTGGTAATCCTGATTTTCATTTGCAATTTTTTTCAGAGAAAGAGTTATTCTTTAAAACTATGAATGCATTAGTTAAAATGTTAAAATGTATTTATATAATAGGCGATGCAGATATAGTCATGTTCACTATAATGTCTTAAGAAAAGTTTCTGATTTCAAAAAACAAGGGAGTGCAGTACAAAATATGCTAAAAAGCCATTTTAAATCTTGATTTCGCTAAATAAATTAAAATGACCTGTTTTACCTCTCCGTTTCTACTTTAAAGATAAGCTTTAACAAGTAGTATGTAGATCCCATATTCAGCATGAGAAACCAACTGAATCAAGATGAATCAGTTGCTACCCAACTTTGTGTCACCATGATAAGGTTAGAGTCTGGATTTCATTACAGATGAGCATTTTATTTATTTTATTTTATTTTATGATTGTATCCAGCTGCTCAAGTCTAAAACTACATAGCACAGGGCAAAAGGAGAAACATGTCAGACATCACTTGAAAAGGTATTGAAAGTTTACTGTAAAGTGAAAAGGGATGACATGAAATGAAGTGAGTCTGGTAATCGTACCGTACATACAAGATCAAAAGCAGAAAGCCATAGTAGCCAGAGTGTTTTGAAGGAAGTAGTGCTGTCTCCGGTTTCAAAGACCTGTCATTTGTTTTGCAGCAATGTGGTGGAGAAGTGTGTGACGCACTCCTCCCGGGCAGAGAGAGCTTTGCTGATTGATGAGGTTTGCTGCCAGAACGATGGTCCCCACAGTGCCTTATACACCATGATGAAAGACCAGTATGCCAACTATGTAGTACAGAAGATGATTGACATGGCAGAGCCAGCACAGCGCAAAATAATCATGCACAAGGTGAGAGGTAGACGTGTGTCTGTTCTAAAGTACAATTCTTAGGAATGTGTTATTTTTTGCTTCTCTCTTACAGTTCACAGAAAAAGTCTGTAACCCCTTAAGATTTTCACTTATTTCATATATTTGAAACCTCAACTGTTATATGATCTTAATCTAAGTCATAATAAGTCTCTTTTAACATTTATTTATCCCCAGATGTTGCAACATTCAAAATCTGTTTGAGTCAAACTATGTGAATCTTTACATTCATGAACTACTGGCATCCCCTTGAGCAGCAGTGATTGTAGCTGAATGGTTTTTAATCGCTGCTCAGCCTCTCACATTTTTGGCCCATTCCTCCTTGCAGAACTCTGTGACATCTGAGGGCTGTTGTGCATGGACAGCTCACTTCAGGTCCCGCCACAATATTTGAATGACTTTGACTAGGCCATTATAGGACTTCTTTTCTCATCTAAGAGTGACCGTTTTGCATCCAGTCCAGGCTGAGATTTTTCTACAAACAGATTCACAAGAGACCATTCATGAGTCATGGTACAATTTGTCATCAGATTTGACCTTTTAAAAACCTACTTCATTAGAGACAGGCTCACAGTTACCATTATTTAATAGCTTTATGAAAGTAATTCCCATGAAATTCAAAGTTTGTCAAATGAATAGTTTATCTTTTGATGTGTTCAATATTGATCAGCTAATAGTGTGGATTATTATGAAGATTATCATCACAACTGATCTTTTGTTATCCTTCAGCATGTTGCATACTAAACAATAAGATAATTTCTGCATTTATGAAATGCAACTTGGAGATACTGAAGTCAAAACAATATGCAGTGTAACTTAATAAGCAAATGGTTCACATAATTTTCATTACATTAAACAAAAGAATGCCTAATTCTATGGTGTAGCAAAAAAAATCCTCAAATCATTTATAGTAGTTTTGTCTGTGAGATCCACATAATGTTTTATCTAATATTTAATCTAAAATAATATAAATTATTCTTCAGGTTCAGTTCAGGCAGTCTTATCATTTGTGGAAACAAAAGGCTTAGCAGTGTATCCATTAACCACACAACCAGCTATTCTGGTCATGATGATATTGTGAGAGGATGTTAAACCTTTCTTCATACACAGAAGATCACATTTTGCATTTTAAAAGAAAAGTACTCCTTTGCCTTCTTATATCCATTTTAGATGTGTTGAGTTTAGAGGATTCATGCCAAAATAATTTGTTACTCGTTATTTAAAAACAAATGTTTTTGTGTGCAGATACGTCCTCACATTGCGACTTTACGCAAGTACACCTATGGAAAACACATCTTGGCCAAACTGGAGAAGTATTACATGAAGAACAGCGCTGAGCTCGGGCCAATTGGCGGACCAACTAATGGGCTGATGTAGGAATGTGCACAGGCTGTCAGCCCTTCCAGGAATCAGGTGTATCCAATCAGCTGAGAGGAATTTACCAAAAATCATCTTCACCTAAAAACGCTATGACTCCCTCCCCCTGTTTTTTCTGGCTATTTAGGAAAACCGAGAGAATAGTCCATGTATTTTGTCCGGTATTTGCCTACACTTCCAGCACATTGCCAGCGATTTATCAGATTGCTCTGCTGGGTAAAGCACAGAATGCTTGTATATGTGTAATTGTATCAAACTAGTTGTTACATTTTGTAAATTTTTACCTTGTAAATTCATTGTAAAAAATGGGTAGTTTTTAAACTGAGAAAAGTGGTATTCTTACAGTACACCAGCATGTGACGTGATAAGTCTGCTGGCACAACAGCACAACAGATGCCCCTCATTTTATATATAAATATATATACATTATGTATTGTGCTTCATCTCTCCCAAGCACTGCTAGAAATAGCTGACAGTTAAGTGACAGTTCTTTGTAGATACAGAACGTAGAAAGTTAAGTTTCTTTGTAGTTCATATTTTGTAACTTTGTCTTGGAAACGGCAAAACAGCCTTCTATAAAATCACATGATATAGGCAATTATTTTAATGATTATACTAAAAGCCCTTGGTGGTGAATACTTACTTCATCTCACTTCTTTGAACTGTTAATGTTCAGAAGTTTGAGATGATCAATGCCCTATATTTTTTTTTGCTGAAAACGATGGTGATGTATAGCAGCTTTGTATATAAGTGAATATTAAATTTTTTGAGGTGGGGGGACAAAATATGGTGGTACTTCTATACGTACATAAATATATAAAAATTACGGTGAGAATTTTAACATTTCCCCCCCATTTATAGAGCAAGATTTAAGTGCATTTGCATTTTAAACAGGCTGACAGGACATACTTATTTCATCATCCATATTGGTCAGGAAGAGGTGAAGGTCTAGACATTTTTTTATTTCAGCTTTGAAATGTTATATAGAAATCTTCAGCAGAGTTAGAAATTAAAAGGGGCCATCAGAAGGTATACTTGATAGCTCATTCTGAGGCATGCATGATTATTCAAATAGCCATTGTTTTGCTTCATATAAATATGTAGTGTATATGTCTAGTTAATTACATAGATGTAAGTTTACAGTTTCAAATCTTGAATTACAAAAACTTCTTTCTATGTTTATCACAGGCCTTGCTAACTTAGTAGTGATGCTTTACTTTGTTTGTACAGTTGTACATTTGTAAACCTTGATGCTGTAAATGTAATGTCTTTTACCCTTTTGACAAAAAACGCAAAAATTAGCATTTTAGTGTAAATTCACTCCCTCACCCCTTCCCTTGGCATATAGTGTTGTATACTGTACATTTCTTTGGAACTTTGGAAGAGTGATTTTTAAAAATTCTATCTTTATATGGCTTCGGAATTTGACATTGCATTCTTTTTAACTATTATTAGGATCAGTAGCTTTTGTTTATACATGTAGTTGTTAAATATTCTGTTAATATGGTCATGAATTATTCTGTCATAAATTGTTAAAGTACATTGTGTTTAGAAAATCGAAAGGACTGGACAAGACATTTAGTTACCATGGAAACTTTCCATCTAGCCTGACAGGACTTTCTTTTGTACAGAAGAGTACTGTATTTTGGAACATCTACTAACTTGTAAGTGAAAGAATGTATGATATTGTCAATTATAATAATTTGAACATTTGAGGCTGTAACACTAGCAGACGTTATGTACATTTACAGGTGGCCTTATGTACATTTCCCGAAGTAATTAAAATATCCTTTTTTGCAGGCAGAATTGTGACAAGATATGTATAATTAAACAATTCTTTGTAACTTTTGACTCTGGATATATTTTGAAATCAGATTTGTAAATTCAGTTTAAGAAAATTTTAATCATTTTTCTTGTATTTCACTGACTTTGGTCAGCTTTTTGTATAGGTGATGAATGTTATGGAGGTTTGTTTTTTATTTTTTTCTGAGTCCTCAGATGACTTGGCTTTGGGCAGTCGAAAGTTTTAACTCGGGCTGTGCTTACAAAGGTCTGTCATGGGTTAAGTTCATGGTAAGTTTTAGGGGACAGAGAAATTATGTACATTTAGTTTTTATCCTTCAGCCTTATTGTAGCAGTTTTTCGAGCCCATTTGTGTTTAAAACCTCCTGAAGTAATGCAGGTGACTCTTTTACAGTATATCTTGTCTGGTTTGTTCGAACACTCTCCATCAGACCTGTTTCAGTTTTGTTAGGGAGCACTGCCCAAGTTTCCATGGCAACTGTGTTTGTATAATGGCGGATGCGTAATGGCTCTATGGTGTTCTCTTGGTTGGTGATACAGGGGCTGTGCTAGTTCTGAATTTCTGGAGAAGAAAAATGTGACAAAACCACTAAGCTGTTCCTCTGACGTGTGTTTTTTTTTGATGGATGGTGTGTTTGGACCAGTTTGTCATTCGTGTGTGATCAAGTTGGCCACCAGTCTCCATGGCAGTTCTACAAAATTATTTGTTATTTGATCATTTGTATATGCTGTATAAACAAAAAAGAGGAAAAATGTGAATAACATTGTATGAAATAAACTTGGTCATGTGTTTTCTGTAGGAAAATGCCCATCATGGCTTTTGTTTTGAAACAACATACAATAATTTTCACAAAGTAGAGATTTGTTCCTGAAGTATTTTTAGATTCAAATCGTCGAATACACATTATAAATAGACACCCCTCACCCCTTCACAAAGCACCTTCACTGAATATGGCACACTAAACCATTTCAATCTCGATGTCTCTAGTCTGCACTAGGCTGTTTCTTTTTTGCATTTATTTCCAGTCCAGTGAAGACTTAGAATTGAGACGTAGTTATAGCATTTTTTAATTAAAATAGTTATTTTTCTAGGAGCATTAGTTTTAGGCTGTCATCTTTGTGCCTTCTTTCTCAATATTGTTACTGATTTATCTGACACTTTTACCCAAAGCATCTTACATTTGCACCCATTTATACAGATGGGTACTGGAGATGTTTGGGGTGAAATACCTTGCTCAAGGGTACAACAGCAGTATCTCATCTGGGATTCAGACCAAAAACCTTCCAGTTCCTGAGTCTTGAACCCTAATCACTGCCATTCATTATTCATTCTTCATAATATTGTATTTCTTTGGAGTCCATTTTTACACTTCTTATGTTAAACCAGCAGATGGTGCTGTTACAGTACTTCATAAAAATACACTAAAAATGACTCAATCAAATTTCTAAGTTGATACTTTATGCTGTACTAATACGGAAACAGGAATCAGCAGAAATTCACTTGCTTTAAATTGTTAATTTATTAACTATATTAAGTGTCTCCTAATTTTTACTTTTGAGATTCTTTTGCAGACACTGAATCTGATCCAGGTGTTGCACGTGGGTCATGTCACCAGCAGCCTGTGGTCGGAATTCCCCAAGCAGTGTCACAGATCACCAAAGCCCACTGAGAGTAGGGTCGGAGTTGTCAGCCAGGGCTGTCTTGGCTTTCTGTGACACAACGCCCCCTCTAAATCAGTGTCTGTGAGGGATTATCCTTTCTTCCAACCTGTGATGTTTCTGCACAGGTCTGTGCTGTTTGTGACAAGTTAAAAGATGAGCAGCTGGAAGCTGAGGGAGATGAGCTAATCTGCCTGCTCTGCCTCATCCCCTCCTGTGTGTGGTTGTTGTGAGCTGAGACATAAAAAACACACAATATTTCCAGATTGGGTGGGTGTAACAGAATATTGGGTGATTCCAAAGTTGCTTGAAAAACACTAGGATCCCCAAAGAATCACACGTTGTTTTAACTATCCAATTTGAAGTGCCCTAAGGCTTCTTTTGGCCTAAGTTGGACTAACAGACAAGAAGATACAATTGGAAACCACAGGAATTACATTTAAAACTAAGAACAGAAACGGATTTTGTACAGAGTCTGTAACTAACCAGTTGATACCCTGGTTTACTTCAAGAAAAGGCTGGATTAGATCCTCAGGTTAATTGGCTAATAAATGAGCTGAACGAATGGCCTAGTGTACATTCATTTACGAACTCTGTTATTAAAGAACAGAGCTTCATCTTTCCAAAACTAAGTCTGGGTTGCATTCTGACTGCTTTCAAAATATGCGAAAAAAACACTTGAAAAATTTTTTTTTTTTCTTTTCCAATCCCTTTGGAAATGCACTTCCAGTTCCTCCGATACTCATCAAGATGAATTCCCACTTCATCTAAACGTCTGTTGTGACCTCTTGAAAACAGCGTTAACTCTAAAGATTAGACAGTGCTATAGCACGATCATCAATCATCAGTTTTATTTGTAGTTCATTATGGATATACAAAGGTAATTTTTTTTTTATTCAGTCAGTCTTCAGTAATTCATTCTTTAGGGAGCATTCATTACATTTAATATGCTTTTGTGTTGGGCAGTTAATTCGCCCTCTACCCTTTGGTTTTCAAAGATGTGGGTTTACACAAAATGTCGATTTACACAAAGGACCTTTTTTTCTCACAGGTGTGGTGAAACATTGGTCATGTTGTGTGGTTTGGCAATTATGGTTTTTCCCTCTTTCTCCACTCTAAAGAGACTCAATTACGGTTATTTTATAAAGAGTGGTTTCTGGGGTGTGTACAGTATTTAAGTGAGATAAAGAGACCCTGAGAATTTTTTAAATGTAGATGTCCATAACCCACATTTATGTGGTTTATTGGGATGGTGGTTAGAATCTGAATAGCAGGTAAGCAGTTTATCTCTTTATTATTTATTATGCTTACACTTTTTTTCATATTGACATTGCCACATCTTGGAGGGGAAAACTCCATTCACATCTTTTTGAACAGCAACAGCTATTTGAAAACATAAATATTTGTAGATAACTTTGTGCAAAATAGAACGATGATACTTCTGCTAATTATGTCTTGTGTTCTGTGAAACGTCTGAGAGTCAGACTATGGGTGTAGCCAGTTTCACGTGATCAGACTAGACATAGATAAAACAAACTTGAGCCATTGGAGGGTATGCTGTAGTTCATTTTAAATGCTAATGTCCTGTAGATGCCCGATCAGCTAACACAACAAGTGACCTTTATACACTCTGTGTTTTCTTTACACAACCTTGCACAGAATTAGCTGAAATTTCAGGCAATACTTTACACACTGCAAGGTGTAGATTTACTATGTTACAGAAAGCAAAGAAAGGATAATGGTAACACTGGTAATGGTAATGGTAATTAGTACTGGAAGCTCTGCCCTGCAAGTACTTCTGAAAACAGAAATGTGGGGACTTTGAATAGTGCACTGTTGGCAGAGTGGTTAGCATTGCTGTTTCACAGCGTTGGGGCCCTAGGTTTATTTCCGAATCTGGGTTGCTGTTACTTGCAGGAATAGGCCACCCTGAACTGGATAAAGCCGTTAGAAGATGGATGAATAGCGCACTCAGTAAAGGCCGAAAATGTTCAAAGAATTGAAGAAGCATACATATGATTATGTACTTTTAAGTTTGGATTACATGGATTCTGCTTTTACTGTATATGTCACTCCTTAGCCCAATGTTTAAGTTTTTTTATTTTTAAATGTATGCAGCAGAGATGCAGAATGCTGAGGAAGCTTGGTGAGGCCTTTCAGTTGCCCCCTGGTGGGGATCATTGCAATATTTTCTGAAATTACTCCTGTTTTCCCTCCTGCCACATGCCCATCAGTCATCTTAAAAATGACTCTAGTGCTTGAAGTTGCTTTGCTGAGAATGAGCCACTTTGCAGCTGCTGAACAGCAATAAACCACAAAGGAACACAGATTGAATGCAGGTGAAGGACAGGCAGTCGTGGGAACTTGGCCTGTCCTTATATCCCTATGTCGAGACAGAGTAGGATTGCAGTAAATAGTAAAGTGTGTAAAGGCTGTGTTTCCAGGTTAGCACCCTTAACCCCATCCCTTCTTACGGTGCAGAAAGGTTTCAGATGTCTGATAAACCTCATTCTGCTGCTGTTCCCAATTACCCTGTGCAATAGTCTGTGTGGGTTACCTCATTAAAGATAAAATACACAGCCATATGGAATAAATCTTAAAAATCCTTAGTCACCCCCGGCAGAACAAAATCCTTTCCCACATCTGCAGTCTGAAACCACTCAGAAGTTAAAATGAAGTGCTTTTAAGTTCATCTTCATTTCATTATATACAAAATGGCTCTTTATTGCTTTGTCAGGCTTAGCTTTAAACAAATGGTTGTGGCACTTTAAAGATCTTCCTTTCAGGCACTTAATTGGGGTTTCCTTTCTTTTTTTCCCCTCCAATGCTATCAAATGATGTTTGAAAAAACAGTGTCTCCTAGACTTCATGTCATGATGTCTCATTAAGTTGTCTGGCCAGATTTGCTGAGTCAAACTGTGGAGGACGGACAATAAACCATGACAGGCCACAGGGCTAAGCCACAACATCCTGAGGAACAGAGGTTTCTACATCAGTTTCATCCTGAACCTTATCATGTGTGCTTGGGAGAAAAAGCTGAGCGGCCATTTATAAACTGTGGAAATACATGAGTGCTATTATTTGCCAAATCCATTAACACAGGGACACTGAACTTGAACTTGTCTGCCCAGTCCACTCCATTACGGCATTACATTTCTGCCCTTTAAAGTAACCTTTATATTGATATACAGATATTTTTATTTATCAGTAAGATAATTAAGGAGATGGTTGTTGCTGAACTCTGTAATGGAGCAAATTAGGAAGAGTGAACCTGGTAAGTCGTGCATTGATATCTGGTTCACTTACACATGAGAACATTAGAACATTTACAAAGAAACAGGTCATTTGAGCCAATGTGCTTATTAGTGGATAATACCAAACTCTTGTACACCTGTTTTATGAAGGCTAGAGGACTTCCCAACCCTGTGCCTTCTGGTTTCTATTTCAGCTGAGCTGCTTCTTAATTCAGCTTAATACCCATTTAATTAAAGTATTATTTTGTAAAATAGTTTCAGATCTCAATAGTACAGATGAGCGATTTGTATGAATACATCACAAGTTTTATTGGCAGACTGTTATACACACTGTCATTTTCACCTGTTTCTGTATATCGGTAATTGATAACCAATTAAGAAAATTGTTTGAGTTAATAACCATCATAAAATCACAGTAAAATTCTCGTTCAAAATCTAGGTCAAATAAGAACATAAGAAGATAGGAAAGGTTACATACGAGACGAGGCCATTTGGTCCATACTGTATAGCAAGTTTGGTAGTTAGTAGCTAACTGATTCAAGGATCTTGTCCATGTGTTCCTTGATAAGAAAGAATCCATGATATCTGCTTCAATAACATGACTGGATAGCTTGTTCCACACTCGCACAGTGATGGTTAAAGAAGTGCCACCTTTTCTCAGACTTAAATGCACTTTCACATAGCTTCCACTTGTGGCGTGTGGTTTGTGTTTCACTTTTCATTCTGAAGGAATCTGCTGGGTTGATTGTCAATGCCCACGAGGATCTCAATTCTTATATCATAGTCTTCTCTGTTCAAGATAAAAAAAAAACTTCAGTTCCTTCAGCCTGTTACTGCAGGACATTTGCTTAAGCCTTAGATTGAATCTGGTTTGCTTTTATCTTGATACCAG